TTAAAAATACGAAACGCATTATGACGCTTATTCTTCGCATTGACACGCCTAAACTTATGATTCTTGATTCTCGACCTCGATACTTCGCAAAGCATTACACATTTTAGAACACTGGTTCTACTCCATGAGTAGATTAATGTAATGTATTTATTTTCTCAAAACCAATTTAGGGTGAATGAGAAATTAATGTCAAAAGATGATCACTTGAAATTGAAATAAATTGGAATAAAAGTTGGTGGGAAATTGGAAATGTGTCAATCCCACATAGGAAAGTTAGAAAAAAATAAACCACTTTATATTGCTCAAGTTTGAGACTTGAGTTTGGATCCCGGGAGTACCAATAGTCTTTGAAGGGGAGATAACTTATATGCTAGTAGGTTGGACCAAAACCCACTCGCGCGCCGTCGTCCGACTGGCCCAGCTTGGCTTGGGTATACTTTTTTGGTAAAATAATAGTTGATTTATATTATTTTATTATTATTTAATATAATAATATATTTAATTTATATTATTTTTTCCCCGATTTTTCTGCGGGTGACCCGTGGAATCTTCTAGAAGGGCGATTGACGATTGACAGTTAAACTGTCTGTCCAAACGGTTGTGTTTGTTGAAAACACAACTTTTTTGCTGTTGTATCTTTTGGACACAACTTTTCAACTTTTATAAATAGGCCCCCATACCCCGGTTTTCATTCATTCAAAAATCAATTCTGATTTTATTCTTCTTCCGAAATTATTCCATCGTCCTGCATTATTCATATTTTGCAATCCAGTCTCGAAAAATTATTTTTGTACATTTTAGTCTTCAGATTTTAGAGAGATCAAAACGTGATTAGGTTCGCCGAGTCTTGTAATTTGTAGTGCTACTATTACAAGTCGAGGTCGTTGTATCTTAAGAGACGAGTGCCGAAATACCGTCAACGCCAGTGTGGAGCATTATCGTCTTAAGGAGAAAGAGTCGAACTCTTGCCTCGACCATTAACATTTTTATAGCATTCATTGTGTACGACATTATTCTGCTCAAATCAATTCATGGTGATATAATTATTTTTCAACAATCTTCAACAAACTGTTTTTCTAAGTTCTACACTGTACAACACATGATATTGTGCAAATGTTACAGCAATTCTCTACACTAGCTTAGACATATAATTCTCTACACTGTACAACACATGATATTTGGCATCTTGACCTATAATTCTCTTGCCTATTAAGTTATGTGTAAATGTTCTTTACACAGTGCCGTTAGTTGAAGAACATCTAAACCAAAAGTCCTTGGCTACAATGCTTTCAAGTTCTAAGGTTAAGTCCATGCGAGAATGAATATAATTTTAGATGCGAATCTGAGTACAAAATTCACCAATAATCCTTACAAGAGCAATATCCTCCTTTGAAATGATGAAATCTGTACCGATCTCGTACAATTATTTCCCTATTATAAAGTTTAGATACGAGCTTAGCAACAGAGTGGCAGTCTCCACAAACACGAAGATTCTTCACGACCCGAATAGGTTGAGATGGGCTCATAGTAAGAAGTCCAAAGGCAATAGCTAGCCTTTCACTGTGAAGATGTAAGGCATGTTCCTGTATCTCTTCTTCTTCAACAAGTTGCAGGAGTTGTGACTTATTTGGTACATAACCCACGGATTTTAACCCAGCAGCAATTTCCTCCAACTTTGAGTATATTTTCTTGGATAGAGGGTGAGAATTGTCTCCGACTAGAAACTCGTGAACAATACCATCAACCTCAATCGAGCTACAACCTGGTTCTTTCTTCAGACCACTCTCTCTCATTAGCTTCCTCAACTCTGAAACACTGTCCCATTTTCCTGATTTTGCATAGATATTAGACAACGACACGTAAGCTCCGTGATTTTGAGGTTCTAATTCAAGTAAACGAGCACATGCATGTTCAGCTAGGTCAACATTCCCATGAAGTCTACATGCCCCAAGCAGAGCCCCCCAGACAGAAGCAGCCGGGGTTATAGGCATGTTCTTGATAAACTCCATGGCTTCCTCCAATAGACCTGCTCGACCAAAAATATCAACCATGCAAGCATAGTGCTTCTCAACAGGCACGATATTATAAACTAGCTCCATTTGGCGGAAAAAGTCTCTACCTTCCTCAACTAGTCCTGAGTGACTGCAGGCAGACAATAAATTGGTAAAAGTTACAGAATTAGGCTCCACATTAGCCTCTTGCATCTTCAAGAACAATTCTACTGCTTCCCTACCAAAACCATGCATTGCCAAACCAGCAATCATAGCACTCCATACAAATACATCTCTCCTGTCAACTGAGTGAAATACTTCAAGTGCCTTCTCCAAATCCCCACACTTAGAATACATATCAATCAGCGCGGTTATGAGATGACAGTTTAACCTGACTCCCTCTTTTTTTATGTACACATGGATCCACCCACCCAAATCCATAGCCCCTAATTGAGCACAGGCTGATAGGGTACTGACAAGGGTGACTTCATCAGGTTTAGCCTTCTTGCTAAGCTGCAACTCATTAAAAATGGCTAAAGCTTCCTTAGGATTGCCATTTTGTTCATAAGCCGAGATAAGAGCATTCCATGGAGCAATATCCTGACAAGGCATTGCAGCAAGAAGACTTCTAGCTGCATCAAAATACCCCAACCTCGCATACCCAGCAAGCATAGTTGTCCACGAAATGATATCCTTCTCCTCCATTTTGTCAAAAAATCTCGTAGCTTCTTCGATACTCCCACACTTGGTATACATATCAACAACCGCGTTACTCAAAGTCAAACTCATTGTTATACCATTCTTCTCTATATAAGAATGCACCCACCTTCCAAACTTCAAATCCAATTTTTTCCCACAAGCTGACAAAACCCCCACCATGGTTACATCATTCGGTTTCACATCTTCCCCCTCCATTGCTTGGAACAAATCTAATGCCTCATCAGCACAATCCCTTTGAGCAAAACCATTGATCATGGAGTTCCAAGAAACAACATCCCTTTCTGAAATACTCAAGAAAACCTGGTATGCCATTTTCAAACAACCACATTCAACATAAAAATGAATCAATGAATTAAGTACAAACAAATCGGAATTAAACCCCGATTTAACCACCATTCCATGAAGTCCCTTTCCAATCTGCAAATCCGAGAGCTCGGCCAAGGCTTTGATCACAAAAGGGTAAGTGAACTTATTGGGATTCTCACTACCCTCACAAGTTAGTCGAATGAACATCAAGAAACTATGAATGGGAACGGGACTCGAAGAGTACGCACGAATAAGGGCGTTCCAAGAGTAAAGATTTGGGTTGGGAATTTGATCAAACACTTTGCGGGCATACTGAATGCTGGAGAATTGAGACAAAGCAGATGCTTGAATGAGTTTGCTGGCCGAGTAAGGATCAAAAAAGAGGCCAGTTCGGAGCATTCTCGCATGGATTTGTTTGAGGTGCTCGGTGCTAGAGCAATGATCGATCATTGTGATTATCGGATGGTTTGCAAAGTATCGGTCATTGTTGACGGTGGGAAAATTGGGATTCAGGTAGTTACATTGAATATTCATGTTTGGAGCAGCCATAAATTTCCTGAGCTCAAATGATGTACACATTTAATTCATTTCTACCATCGTTTTCCATTTCTTACGAAAAAAAATAAATTGTGAAGTTTCATTGAAGAAAGAAAGTAAGAATGGATGCATACCCCTTATCCGGGACAGCGATCTCTCTCCTGTCCTGTTCCCTCCAATTTCCAACTAAAGTCGCATAAGCATCTGATTAAAAATCGTATTCGCGCACTGCACTTGGAAAATATCTTTAAAAACTTTACGAAACCCTCTGTCGCCAATAAATGCACCCAAACAGAAACATTTCTTTGTTTATCAATTTCCTCCATCTTTGCTAATCCAATCCAATAGCCTCTGATTGATTTGCTGTTCGTATAACGATGTCGGTTAGTAATGGATATTCATCTCTGATTCAAATACAACTATGTAATTCATATTCATGTTACAGCGCGTTCTTATTCTTTGACACGATTCATTAATTCAGAATTTTTATTCAGTGCTTATTAAATTTCGTTGGCGTATGGGAAAAACTTTGTTTGGGATTATTATCGAGTTATCAAACTAATTGGAATAAGTTGATGAATCTTTTAGAGTTTATTAGTTTCGCTACAACTATTCCAACACACGGGAATAATTTTGCATATTCACCTCTGACATATTTAATAAATTTGCAGTTTCGTTCTTTTTCTTCTCCCTTTCCTCCCAGAAATCCATGATCCGATAAATAATATTGTTGAATGAAGTTATGTTAGCGTGAGTTGAATATCATGATCTTTATTTGGTAGCATGTTGCACCCAAAAAAGGCACATCCCCAGAAAACTTTTATATTGGGCAATTCATTGTATTGCAGCAAGCTGAGTAGACATTTCATTGCGACTTTAATGGTCATAGTAGAATGTTGAACGCATTGAAAAGACTCGGAATGCTTTGCGTCATTGATTTTAGCATTATAACTTTGAGACTGAATTTTTTACCTGGACTCATAGGGTGTTTGGGAGTGCTTAAAATCTCCTTATTTTGCTTTGAAGTTTTGTATCATCCTGATTGTCTATAGGCCTAGAGGAACTTCAAACCTCTGTTTGTTTCCTTGAATTAAAGGCGTTGTACTTAAAATCAGATAAAAGTACATTCAAAATTTAGTTGACAAAACATTGAAATTGTCTCACACTGTATACTCCTCCAACCCCATCGAAAAGATTAAAAAATCTGTCATTCACTAATCTAGGCATAAGCAGACACTGAAAGGTTACAACCCCCCTCTGCAACTAACGCACACCAAAAAATAGTATGTGCAAAAATATTTTTGGTCTACCTGTTATGATACTTGCAATTTGCCGTTTAGCAGTATTTGAGGTTATGATATTATGCATGAAACCTACCGTGTCTCATACCTCGTCTCTCTCATCCTTTTGTTTTCTTTGCATGGCAGATCAAAACAGTGAAAGTGAGCAATCTCTCGTTAGGTGCTGCTGAACGAGACATCAAGGAGTTCTTTTCCTTTTCGGGGGAGATTGAATATATTGAAATGAAGAGGTTAACTTTTGAATATTTCAAGTTCTTTTGCCTTCGTATTTGTTTCTAGTATTTATTGTTTTCCCTTCACTGAGCATCTATGTTTAACCCAATTTTTCCCTAAGCATCACTTCATTTCATCTTCAATTGTTTTTAGTGAGAATGAGCGATGTCAAACTGCATTTGTAACTTTCAAGGATCCTGATGGTGCAGAGACTGCAGTTCTTTTATCGGTAACTTTGCTTTGCAATTCACTGATTCATTTGTCTTTGTGCCTTACCATGTTAAAGGAAATTCAGTATTAGCTTCAGGTTTTATATGAGGAGAGTCCAAACCGATATTAGTGTTGGAATTGATGGTTTAATATAATGATTTAAATTTGTGAATTTGAAAAGTCTCCAATGTGTGTGATTACTAGACCCAACTTTTCAATTGTAAATGGTGTATACCAATGAGTCATGTTGCTTCGGAATGGGTATGACCTATTGAAAAGATGCAATCTACACCATTAAATATGAAATGGTGTTGGTGTGATCTAATGGTTAAAATTAAGTTATGCCAAAAGATGCAACCATTCGAAGAGATACATGAAAGTTTATAAATTGGACCCTCCTAATTCCATTTTCTTCACTCCAAATCAATTCCATGTGATTGATTTCTAATTCTTTCTTCTAAAAATTATTCCAAAATAATATCCTAATTAATTTTGAGTTTCGTATTCAGTATGTAGTATTCGATATCTTTCGTTCTAGAAGAGTATAGTCAAGCATTGATTCATCCGGCAAAATTAATATTGTGTTATATTAATTTTGAAAGAAACATTGTATCTTGGAAGACATGCGTCTATTTTATCCTATTAATACCAATGTAGGGAGTAAAATTTGTCGTAAGGAAATTTGTATTCGCATACCTCACTTCATTTCATCTTCTTCTAATTTCTACATTTTAGTACGTCGATATTTTGTACACGTATCTTAATTTCGTTAAGTCAAAATTCTTTTCTATATTTTGTAGTTAACGGAATCTAATTCATGCACTAATTTATCCAACAATTGCTTTATTGCTAAACTTAAAATAAGGTTCCATTGTTCTTGCATGGATATCTGGTTGGTTGTGTTTTACATCTCAGTTTTGTGTTTCTGTAGCTACAATTATTTAATAATGAAGTTGATAATCGGTCATAATTGAAGGATTCTTATCCCTCAAAATGGTTTATGATACTGATTGATGTTTCAGAAGAAGTTTGCTCCAAAATATCTGAATCCTTCTTATACTCTGCGCATTTCTTGGTCTTATGATTGAGATGATTTTTGTTCGTATGACTTGTCTATAATCTGTATTACTGAATAGTAAAACTAGTGTTTGTTAGTAACATCATTTGGTTGCAACTAACAAAATTATTGATCTGGTCAGTTACTCGGTAAGCTAGTTAATTTTATTCTATTGAATTGCAATATGGCATAGTTCATGTTTTTTAGTTAAGTGGTGATTGTTTTCTCTTATTTTTGTGGTGTGCTTGACCTTTACAAGAAACGGTGAAAATCTTCCCTTGTTACAAATTTCTTATTCTCTCAGTTTTGAAGATTCCGTGCATTTGATTTTTCAGGGAGCTACCATTGTTGATCAACCAGTTGACATAGCCCTTGCACCAGATTATATACTTCCACCTCAAGCTATCGCATCTGTTGGTGTATGTTCTCTTGACATGTTATTTAATTTTCATGCACCAGATGTGCTTTTCTCATTTAGCTGGACTGTTTATGTCTTCAGGCTGCAGAAAACAAGAATGTAAGTAACACTGGATCTGCTGTTCAAAAGGCGGAAGATGTTGTCAGCAGCATGCTGGCTAAGGGCTTTATCTTGGGGAAGGATACGCTTAGCAGGGCCAAGGCTTTGGATGAGAAGCACCAGTTCACTTCCACGGCTTCAGCTAAAGTAGCTTCTTTGGACCAAAAGATTGGATTGAGCGAGAAAATCGGCATGGGGGCAACCATGGTAAATGATAAAGTGAAGGAAATGGACCAGAAGTTTCATGTTTCTGAGAAGACAAAATCAGCTTTTACGGCTGCTGAGCAGACGGTTAGCAATGCTGGATCAACCATCATGAAGAACCGACATATTTTGACAGGGGTTTCGTGGGTAACTGGTGCTTTCAATAAGGCCACCAAAGCTGCTGGAGAATTGGGGCAGAAGACGAAGGAAAAAGTGATCGAGGAAGAACATGGAAAGAACACTGCTGAAGGTTATGCTCATGTTCATAGCTCTGAATCCCGGAAAGCTTCTACAGGTGATACCAAACCCTCTTCTCCTCGGGGCTTAGTCCTTTAAAGATTGATCACCTAATCATCTGTATATATACGATAAATGGTTTGGATAGTTCTACCTCAAAATCCTAGCTAATTATTTCACGTATGGTTTGACTGTTGTGGGGATTGCTGGTCATCAAACTTTTGTCCAGTTTACAATAGGGTTATGAATAAGTTGTTGGTTTTCACTGCGTGTATAAAATGATTGAATTTGTTGCCTCTGCATTTGTGCTGGAAGTAGAAATAATTTTGTTTAATGTTGAAGTGATTTGTCTGGTTTTAAATGTCTGATTTCTTTATAAATTACATCAAAAGAAAATCAAGAAATAAATTCTGTATACAGGGCAGATATCAATCGGTACAATGTTTTGTATATACGACTGATTAGACGTGCCTTTGCTTACTTCCACGAGTTCTCAACAACTTCCATTCTCCAAGATGCCCCCAAAAATTTCTTTTATCATCAACTGTGGTGCCTGAGATTTGGCTGCTGTCCGACTAAACCGATAAATTCAATTGCAACACTCAGAGCATTAAGAGCTGCCAAAAAACTTGAGCCTGTTGATGATTCCTGTTTGTTTACATATTGTACACCACGGAACACAATACAAGGAACTCCATTTGTTATAGATGTCTGCAAAACCATCTTGTATAATTTCTCAACTCAACTGACCTCAATTGAAGTTGGGTTGACATATTGAACCAATTGCATCAACTGGAAGCCAAAATACTTTTTGCATTGGTTTCCCTTTGGAATTAAGCTGTTGATGTGTGTATTTCAATTTTGCCAACAAGTTTTCCCACTTTTCAGGCAAGTTGTAGGCACCAAAATCGAGTTCCCGCAGATGCCCATCTGGCGATTGAAATTCCTTTTCAACATAGTATCTATCTTAGTAACTCCATATACGTGGACTTAGTACATGCAATCTTCCATTTCCAAGAACCAGCAAATGCTATGTCAAGTGGGACACTAACATCTCCTGTCTAGAGGGAATCATTAGCCCTGAGTACTCCCAGCAGTTCCATAGTGAACTATTCCTTTAATGTCAAAAACATCTGATAGAAATCACACATAAATGAAGGAGAGTGTTGAGTTAATATGTTACCATTTGTACAGTCGTCACATAAATCACATCAGCAGCTCTAAAATTCCCCATAAAATTAATGCTTCGCTGAATCAGTTTATTAGCTTGTAACTTCATCGCGGTCGCCTAACT